GTGACCCGGGGCAGTGGCTGCTCAGAGGAGCTATGGACGCGCCCGCCGACGGGTGTGACTTTCCACAGTGAGTGTGCGAAGCCCGCGAGCCGGGTCGCGGTGTTTAAAATGTGTTTCCTGTGGACCATGCACCTGACATGCCGGCGCGGGCCCGTCTGCTTAGGGGCCTCGGCACTGCTGGCGAGTTTGAGGGAACAAGCCGTCCAAGTGGGGTAACTTGAAGGTAAAGTTAGAAACGTCTCCCCAAGCCGTCCTGGCTCCCCCTTGGGGTCCTCCCCAAGCCCTTCCCCGCCCCCTAATTTGGTATTTCGCGTCCTGGCCCTGCTCTTTCTGCGAATGCTTTGACTGGTAATGGTGTTCGCACTACTCTTGGATTTAGATTTTAAAAAGGGGAAAGGAAGGCTTTTGGATCTCTATTCTCTCTCTCACACACACACTTATGTTTTATTTTTATTAATTTACTAGAGGCCTGGTGCATGAAAATTCGTGCACTTAGGTGCCCTTTGGGGGTCCCTCAGCCCAGCCTGAGCCCTTTCACAGTCCGGGACCCCTCGGGGGATGTCCACCTGCCAGCTTAAGCCACAGTCAGACAGCCTTAGCGCTGCCAAGGAGGTGGGAGAGGCTCCCACAGCAGCCCGGCTTGTGGCTGAGCCTAAGCTCACCCTCTTGGAGTGCACTGCCCACCAGGGGCAGCTCCTGCATTGAGCTTCTGGCCCCTGGTGGTCAGTGCTCGTCATAGCAACCGGTCGTTCCCAGTGGTTCTGCCGTTAGGGTCAATTTGCATATTACCCTTTTAGTATATAGGATTATCTTTACTAGGGCCTTGAGACTGTTGATGGTGTCATGCTTCTTGAAGGGCCTTAGGAGGGAAGAGATCTGATTAAACTTGTTTTTAGGGGAGGGACACTTTTGTCCTTGACGAGGCCTGTTCTCCTGCTTCCTTGCCGAAGGCAGGAGTTTTGCGTTTCCAAGGTTCCCTGACAGTGCTCCATCAGGCAGCAGACCCGGGAGCCGACACACTCTCTGCCCAGGAGCTTGAAACAATGAATAAGCTTCTCTCTCTCTTTTGTAATATATTTTATTGATTTTTTACAGAGAGGAAGGGAGAGGGATAGAGAGTTAGAAACATCGATGAGAGAGAAACATCGATTAGCTGCCTCCTGCACACCCCCTACTGGGGATGTGCCTGCAACCTAGGTACATGCCCTTGACCGGAATCGAACCCAGGACCCTTCAATCCACAGGCCGACGCTCTATCCACTGAGCCAAACCGGTCAGGGCAAATAAGCTTCTCTTTTACTCTCTATTCATAATCTGTTTCACACTGAATTCGAAGTTGGTCTAGGTAACCCTATAAATCAAGATTTATGATTCTACTCAAATAGCTCAGATCACATGATGGTAGAAATAACATTCACTTATCTTTTTCAATATTTGAGTTCACACAGCAGTACATAGCTTTTTTCCTCTCTCAAAAATCTTACTAGAGAATGAGAACCTAAAGTAACGCCAAAGGGTTTGGAAAAACCATGCCACTACTTTCTTCCATATATTCCAAGTTTAGGCTACTGGGAATAGAGTAATTAAAAGATTAGTAATAAAGCAAGTTGAATAGATGTGGTTTTTACTCTCTAACCCTTTTTATTGCCTGGGTTCCCTAAGGGAGGACAAATGTTTCCTCTCATGTGCCTGCCTCAATGAACGCTCCTGCCGAGAGCAGCACAATGAGAAAAATTCTGAGGCTGCATTTGGCCCACAGAGGGAAAAGTATCATGATTATTTAGTATTCGCTCAAATTCATAGCTGCCATTGTACATAGCTAGTTTATCATCCTGTAAAGATTTCCCCGTGTGAAAAAGTATGAAACTGTTGGTAGCATTTACTGATATTTTTTTTCCTCAGCCTTTGATTGTTACAAATTAATTCGATCTAGAGTCCTAAACTCTTGAACCAAAATTTCACCTCAATTTTTACTCCAAGAATTGGCAAGGTCTCTGGATAAATGATGCTCTCAAAACCATACCCTGTCTCCCAATAAGATAGAGGGATTTCTTGCAGAAGAAAAACTGGTGAGAAAAGGCCCTGCATTGGGTGTTTGTTCTCAGTCTCTTGTGCTGTAGGACCACTGACAAGGTATGTAATCAATTTCTTCATTTTTTTATATCCTTACATTAACAGCAATCGATACAAGCACCTGCTTATAACACAGGCCTGTTGGGATTATAAATGACAATGATGCTGAGAAAGTGCATAGCATTCCATGGTAAAAAGGTCAGCACAGCATCTCTGAGAGGCGCGGGAGGTGGGGAGTGCTGAGGCAGCAACATGCGTCTCTAGCTGGCTGGCCTCATCTACTCTTACGATGTTGCTGTTTTCTTTCAGATTCCTTTTTAATTAATGTTGGTCATCCCTTTGTTGAAAATATTGTATGTTCACATTTTAAAACTCTTAATACTTTCCTTCTTGTTTGGATTTGTTAAGAGACTGACGTATGGGCAAATGGGGTTATTAGAAGGGGAGGAACAATTAAATCTGTTGACTTTAAGATTTGTTTCTGAGACAAAAGGTCATCAAAGATTTCACGGCTTTAAAAATTATACTTATTTCGCTTATTGTTTTGAAATGTTATATCCATTTGGATAAAGGAGTGAATATTGATTTATATGAATTAATGGAAAGGCTGGAATTCATTGTCACTAAATAAAATTGCAAATCTGATTTTAGAGCTGTAAGAAACTAAGGAGACTTAAATTTGACTTTTTTTTTTCTATTTGACTTTTGACTTTCTCGATTTGTAGATGGCAAAGAGACCAACGAGGAGGGCACAGCAGTGGCACAGGAAACTGATACTGATGAGAGCTAGATCTGAGGCTTTGCAGTGGAGATGGCTTGGATTCACAAAATATCTCTGAGACTAGAGGCCCAGTGCATGAAATTCGTGCATGGGGGGGTGGGGTCCCTCAGCCCCACCTGCACGCTCTCCAATCTGGGAACCCTCAGGGAAGCCCCCTTCAAGCTGAGAGCCGTGACGGCTTAGGCCCACTCCCCGTGGTTCTTTGCTCTCTGCGGGGCCTGGCCACTCCACACCCACTGCCCAGAGGCTCTCCGCAGCCCAGAAGCCCTCCGTGGCTGGGGCAGGATGCTTGCCTCGTCACCGCAGTGACAAAGCAAGCATTCCACCAGGCCACTCATGCTGCCTGCTCTCAGTGGCTGCTCCCCCCAGGACTGGGGAACTCTGGCAGGGCTGAGGGGACTGGGTGCCATCTTGCAGCTATGGGCACCACCATCTTTGTGACAGAGTGACAGTTAATTTGCATTTTACCCTTTTATTAGATAGGATGGAGAATCAATAGAATTTGGTGACTACATGGGGTCATGGGAGACAGGGTGAGGACTTGAGAAAGATGGGAATTTCTACCTTTATAGGCAGAGCAGTTAGTTATAACTGTAAGCAGCTCTGGAAGAGCCAGTTTCCCTAATTGTGCTGACCTCAAGCATCTGGGCTGCATATTTGAAAGTTGCTGAGAGAGATCTTAAAAGTCCTCATTTCAAGAAAAACGTTTTTGTAACTATGTATGGGTGGATGTTAACTAGATTTACTATGGTGATCATTTTGCAACATATGCAAATATTGAATCCTTATGTTGTTCACCTGACATTAATGTTACATAAGTCAAAAATTACACTTTAAATGAGGAAAAAATCTCAAGCTTCCACAAAAATAATTTCATGTTTGAAATGGCTACATGAAATGTCTAATCAAGGATTTTTAATGATAAGCTCTTTAAATTTTTGTTACTATTGATAAGAAACATGTTCACACAATTAAAAAATTTTTAATTTGCTTATGTATTTATTTACCCACTTTATTGAGGTATAATTGACATTAAAATTGTATGTAATACATAATATCAAGTAAGGTCAAGTGCTCTTAAGAAAAATCAACCAGAGTATGGGAGTGACAAGGGGCTGCTTTAAATGGAGTATAGAAATAACACTTTTGTTGAACTTCTATAACATTGGTTTCTCAACATGTGGTTCCAGAGCAGGTGGATGCGACAATGTGTTTTTTTTTTTCAATCCTTACTCATTCCTCAGTAGGTTTTTCAAGAGTCTCTCATTCTTGTCATGAGGCATATATTAAAGCTTCAGAAGCTTAAACACACACACACTCTCTCTCTCCTTACTTGCTGTTTTCTAAGGCAGGAATGTTGGTAGGAGCAGCTGCAGTTGAAATATACTCCCCAATGCAAGCAGGGATGGGAGGAGACCAGGTGGAGACAGTTAATTACCAGAAGAAAATGGGCTTTAGTCATCATATAGGCAGCAGGGTGGAAAACACGATGGTCTTGACCATGGGTCCTCAAACTACGGCCCGCGGACCACATGCAAATACAAATATTGTATTTGTTCCCGTTTTGTTTTTGTTTTTTTTACTTCAAAATAAGATATGTGCAGTGTGCGTAGGAATTTGTTCATAGTTTTTTTTTTAACTATAGTCCGCCCCTCCAACGGTCTGAGGGACAATGAACTGGCCCCTGTTTAAAAAGTTTGAGGACCCCTGGTCTTGACTCTTGACTCACAGAGCTCTCTGGTTGTGGTTAATTGTAGGATCAAAGGAATGAACTTAACTCAGTGTAACAACAAAAAAGCAAAAAACCCAAGAAAACACAATTCTAGGTCTAGGAACCGAGGCATCTCAAGAGTGAGCGACATGACTTGTCACCCCATTCACAGAGCTAACTCAGATCCCAGACCCAGAGCCTCTTGAGTGTAGCCCAGATATTCTTAAAGAAGGATGTTGCTAAAACACCTCAGTACTACAAACTTTTGTCCCAGCCTTTCCCCAAAGACCTTGTGTGATCCCTTATGGATAACTGCTCTGGAGAAAAGAAGGTACCCAAACTGCTCACAGACTATCACTAATTTCTGGTACCAAAATGTCATGGTTTGCCATCCACATTCTGAGCTTATATAGGGGTTAGGTGATAAATAACTGAATTCTGGCCCAAGTTCACTTTTGGGTAGGGCTGGTGGTACTGAATGCATCTTATGGTTATGTACCCTACTTGACAAGTGAATAGCTAAAATAGGTCATCTTAGCAACTGACAGAATTTCTTCATTGCCGAGTTCACTCACTGAGTAAGGGCTATTCTGGTAGAAAATGCCAACCAGAGTGCCAAAATAATACACCAAAAGCATTACCACATACCTGAAGAATTGCAGAGGTGAGTGTGACTATCAAGGGTGTGAAAGATGCTGGTGTGACCCTTCCCACCTCATTCCCATTCATTTCCCGGCTCAGTCACCACAAAAGACTGCCGGTCGTGGAGAATGAATGACAGTGCATTATGGTAAACCCAAGTGAGGGCTCCAATTACAGGGCCTCTTCCAAATGGGGTCTTATTGAAGCAACCCAAACTACCCTGACACTTGGTTTGCAGTTATTGATCTGGGATTTAGCTCCAGAATATTTTTTTTTAAATCCTCTTTTTTTCCAAGCATAAGTTTGAAAAAACTTATCTTTTTTCAAGATAAGTTTATTGCCTATCACTTTTTGTTATATCCTTGTTTATGTCTGTACATCGGTCTCTTCACTTTCAAATGGGGATCATAATTGTATCTTCCCACAGTGTAATTGGGAAATTAGATAATTTATGTATAAAGAGCATGTAGTAAATGTTCGATATGTGTTACCTGTTATCTCAGATGATTGGGGATGAGAATCTGGGATAATGTTTTTCCCAATTCATTTCGCAGTAGTCATTCTCCAGTGAGATGATAAATTTTCTGAATCCTTGCATAGCTGAGAATGTCCTTTCTCCCACTTCAGTATGGAATTGGCTGGGTATAGGATTTCAGTTTCAGCTTTGAAAATATTGCGTCATTTGAGAAACCCAATGGCAATCTAATTTCCATTGCTTTATAGGTAACCTATTTCATTAGTTTCTAGTATTCCAAGGACTTAGTGGGTCCTTTTAATTTGAAAATTTGTCTTTTTCTTCAAATCTGGGACATTTTCTTCTTTTTAAACCCCCAACCCTCACCACCATTCTCTGTTGTTTCTGTAACACCTGTCATTCAGATGTTGCAATGTCTGGATCCATTCTTCCCATCTCATCATTTTTCTTTTTATTTGCTATTTAGCTCTATCCATTCTGCTGTATACCAGCTCATCATTTCATCATTCCTATTTTCTGTCTTTAAGGGATTCTTCAATATTCCTGGCTCATTCATGGAACAGTTTGTTCTCTGAGGTTTCTTTTGGATTTATTATGCTCTGGAATTTTAGATAGAAGGTAAGGTATATGTGTGTGCTCAGATTTCCTTCTTGATTCAAATTCCTTGGTTATCTTTACATTTTAAGGTAATAGGTTATGCCTCTCTATTCTTCTCTTTTCTGGTTTTCAAGGACCTTATACTAGTAAATCTGGCTCATTCCACCTATCCAATAAATGCATCCCAAGTACATCCTCATCTTTAGTTTCCCAGCTCCTTTATCCCCAGTGGCACCTGGAATGTTCCCTCATTCAGGAAGCCCTCCTCACCCCGGGCATTCCTCTAGCTCTGCAGCGATTCTTCCCGAAGCATCAAAATTGCCTGCGATTATCCCTAACAGACCTGCACCCACTGAATCAGCATCTGCTGATCAGACCCGGACATCTTCCCCGCACATCCCGCCCCCCCGACCCCGCACTCCCGCCCCTCTTAAACAAGCCCCACCAGTGATTCTGAGGCCCACCCAGGGTTAGAACCTCTGCACCTTCTCCTCCCGGCTGCCCGGCCCCAGGACAGGACGGCGGCGGTTGGAGAGGTTCTCATCCCCACCTTGCATCTAGCAACCACGTCCAAGAAGGTAGGCC